AGCTTCTGAGCTCTGACTGAATCTGGCTACACCGTGGAAACACTTGGTGGTTATTTATTTTTGCTTTACCACAGGGTTCAGCTGCTTTAGCTCCAGGAAGATTAATACAGGAATAAATAACAAAGCAGAAAGGAATTCCCAGCTGAAAAGTAGATGAAAGAAATAACATTTTGGCCGCAGAGTCTTCTTGAGGTGTGACGAGGAAAGAGGGAAGGAGCAGGAATATGCAGATGTCCCAGGATGGGTTTGAACAAAAGAAAAAGCCTGTGAGAATGGACGCAACAGGTGAAACAGGGCACTTCTGCTCACCCTATTCGAACCTCTGCAGATGAAATAACATACGAGAGTTTTTCCATTACGGGTCATAACGACATGTTTCTGTATCGTCAAAAACAGTCGTACTGGCTTCATCCAATTTGGCAGACAGAAGAAGGGGAGAGGAAAAAGGAAAGTGGATCACTTAATATATCAGCACAGTTTGTTCTGACGGATGCTTCTTACGTTTGAAGGACTCGTTTTTGTATCCCAGCCAGAGAGCTAATACCGCCAAGGTCATGCTCTTATGCCGCTTATTTTGTACTCACTCTAAATATAAATCTTTATTTACACAGGGGAATACAATTATTTTAAGTTGTTTCATTCAAACCCCCTGCAGTGTTTTTCTTCCACTATAAAGTTTGCAGGTAACCAACATTTAAATTTGACAAGGTATTTAATTTATTCTATATTCTCATTTTCAAGAAATGTCGATCCTTTCTTGAGCTGGAGAGTCCACCGGGTTGTATCGTGGTGGAGTTTTGTTTTGCCTTTTCTTTTGTCTTCCTCTGTCCGATATCAAGGTTCGAATTTCTGTAAAAGAAGGAAAAAGAAATTCCAGGATAACTAGCGCATCGGGTACATGCAGCAAACATACGAACAGCGTTCTCAGTATGGCCTTGCATCCATACCATGAAAAGCAGGAGAGTGCCATGTGTTTTTAAGATGAGTTCTGGTGCTGTCTTCAATGGTGGCAGAATAGGTTCAGTGGGTATTGCTTTTTCCTGCTTGGCAAATCTTTCTATATAAAGAGCACCCAGAGCATTAGGGGGCTCCCGATCGGTCCTGCTTAAATTACAGTGTCAACCGCGGGACTGCGGGTGATAAATGTGTTCTTGGGCTTATGTAATATCCTTTCAGCTGAAGCTTGCTGCATCTGTTTATTCCTTTCAGCGTCTGTCTAAAAGCGATAGCACCCTCACTTGCTATGAACGGAAAACAGCGACCAGGGATGAGAACGGCTCTTGGGGCAATTGCACCATATTCACTTTTAACCTGGTCTCTGTTGTAGAGCTGAAGTTTATTTATTTGACTTTCTCACAAGTTAAATAAACACCATAAATGCTTTGGAGACTTCCATTAGTATAATTAAGACAGAGTATAATCTTTTTTCTTCATCCCTTACCAGGAATAAGGGCTTTCTGATGGTGGGTGAGGAGTGATGGAAGTTTCTTGATTATTCATCTGCCTAGTTTATCACAGTTTTTCCAAGTCTATAGAAAATTGCAATTGAATGGTCATCTTTAAAATTGTTTGGATGGGTTATTTAGAAACAGGGCTGTACTCTCCTGGTTTAAAAATACAGGGCTTCCTTGCATATTAATTTACAGTATGCTGTGTATTCACAGAACAAAATAAAACTACAGTTTCATCTCATCCCTAGCTGCTTAGAAGGGCTGGCAACACGGATTCCTCTAATTTCAAAGGGTAGAATTATGTCCTACTTGTGAATTACTAATTACTTATGAATTAGTGCCAGCTCATCCAACACATGTTAAATGTTACTGTTCTGCATATCGAACCCACTGCCGTCTATGAAGGTAATCCACATAAAGCTTTGGTTCTCTGCCAAAGAGGACTTGGCTCCACTGCTGGTGAGTTCACATGACGTGTTGCTCCTACATACCGATGTCATGAATATGTTCCCTTTCTGGAGGGCATCTTGGTTCCTTTTGGTGGTTTTTCACCAGACATGACATTCAGCAGATCAGAACATCTCATCACCTGTGTGCAGGCAACACTGGGTATCGCAGTAGATCACAAATGATCCCTTAATCATAATGACACCCAAAACATTCCATCATTGTCCAAAAGCCTTATATAATTTTTCTGAAAACACACATGCATGAATAGAAATTTATTTTCATGTTTTGATGCTCGTTGTACAGTATATACAGTATACATTATACATGACATACAGCATATGTCCCGTATGGTGGAAAGTTTTGTGTGCTTCTGACCATAGAGTACAACCTGCCTCTGAAGATGGTTAGAGACACAGGACACTAGTTTTCAATCTTCTTTCTTGTTTTTGTTTATAAGGAAATGAGATCTAAATGATATGTCCAATGTTAAAAAACAATAAAATACAATTAAAGATTGATAGATTCTTTCTTTCCTTCATTTTTAAGTAGGAGAGGCAGCAGATTTATTGTAAAGCCAGTCTTTTATTTGATGCACCAAAGCTATTTTATTTGCACTTAACCATGTAACATCTTTTTTTAGTTTTTAAAATACAAAGAATAAAAAACATGAATAATAGGAGCTCATATTCTGCAAATGGGGTGTTAATTAAACGTGTTTTAAGCATCTTACAATGCTATCACATCTGTAAGAGTTTCTGGGCCTTGTCACTCGTCAGGATCAGGAACTGGTTCAAGGGTTTGTGTCTGCATTTCAGATTCCACTTAACTGTCACAGTTATTGTCCTTTTACTTTGAACCTGTAACTTGATCAGTTCCCAGTTGTACAGTATAAAAATACAAGCTGATATGCTTGTGTATTGCTGTGGACACTAGGGAGATAATGGATATTAGTGTTTAAGATTTTAGGCTGGCATGAATTTCGAGTTACTAGACAAACCTAACTACATGTAATGGGTCCATAACAATCCTAGATGTAGATATGTACATAGTCAAACTTTTACATTTGATAATGCCAGCATCCCAGCCACTCCTGAGCAGAGTGACTAAGACAAGACCTTTCAAGCCATGAAAGGTTGTCAGCATTAAGTTATTTGCAGACTGTGAATGGGATTCAGTATTTCAGGGGTCACAGGCTACCCCTCTTGTTAACAACACATCACATCCCTAATATTATATTTCTTATTAGCGATTGCCTTCATTTTAACATTTTCACTTGGACTACAAAAATATTACCTATTTTATTTTAAAAGGGCATTTTGCATACATTATCCTTCACTTATGTTATTTATCTTCAACAGAATGATGGATATTGATTAAACCATCTGTTTCAATCTCATTCTTTGCTTTAGTTATTCACCCCATATGTTAATTTATTTATCATGATGTAAATCCTGGATGTTTTTCAAAATCAGAATTGGACATTCTAAGCTTAAATTAACAAAAACTGTATTGTAAAAATACAAAAATGAGGAAGTGCTTATCAATTGAATACAGTATTTACATTTTCAGGAAGAAAAGGTAACTAGGGTTTGAGCATGTTCATCTTGATTTAAATGAATGCGTTTGATTGAATATACTACAGTAGCTGTATTTAGAATTTTCGCATCAAGATAGACTCTAATGTGAACAGAACTATTTTTTAGAACTATTGAAAAGTCTTATCTTAATACTGTCTGTCAGTCTCCAGTTTTCAGGCAGCTGTGTGGAGGTTAGAGCTCTGGACCAGAGGATTTCAGATTCAAATACAGGGAATCTGAGTGCTTTACTCAGATTGTTTGAGTTAATGCTGTGCTGTATAAAAAGGACTCCAGGTCAACGAATTTGTTCTCAATTTATTTAATTGATAAAATAAAAAAAGGACACATGTGCACTTAAAAGTTTTGGATTGCTCTTCTGCTTTGAGTTCAAAAGAATGTACTGACTGACATTTTCTGTAAACTTAAACAAATTAATAGCTTTTTTGAGAAAGATCAGTATAGACATTTTCATCTTCTTCTACTCACTGTGCAGTGAAATGATCCAGATGATGACATCTTCAGATGTTGAAACTGTTTCTGGTTATTTGGAGTTCACATTAAGTTCTATTGCATGAGTTTATTAGGTACATGATAAGGGTTCCAGTTACCACCTCTAAGTAAATGTGGAGCCAACAGTCTTAACTGTAGATTGCGTCTCGTGATGCATTCCAAACTTGTTAAACGTTAGAAGAAGGATAGGAAATATATTTTCTATATCATCTCACACTTTTAAGTAGATTTACAGAATCAATGTCAATCGAAATTCTTTCGTGAGGTGACCGTAGCAGTTCCCATGAGCACGGTTAATTTCTTCATCCATTCTTTAAATGGTACACTTGCAAGTTCCAAAAAAGGCATTGAGTATATTCTAATTAGGGGACATAATTGTATTATCTCCACATTATGTAAATGATAGGATTGTTTATTGGAAGAAAAACCTGTGTATAATGAACTGAAAATGATCCAGGGGATTCTTATTGAGCAAAAGCTGGATGGTAAAATACAGTAGGAGGTCAAGTATTCCTGACATAACAAAAAAGAGGGAGAAACATTTGTATATATTTGTGGGCTGTGTGAAGAGTGTGGAAAAGCCAGGAACAGATCCTGATATTACTTGTGCTGTAATAGAAAGCTGGTCACCTAAGTTAACAGGACCTTACATTACTACTTGCATCAGAAGCTGATTTTTGCAGATTTACTTAGTCTTTGATCTGTGGAATAAACTAAAACAACACCATAACTGTTTTAACACATACGCGTATTGAGCCGTTTTCATAAAACTGTCATACACAATCACTGCTTTTATTTTTGGAGTACTCGAAATTCTTTCGTGAGGTGACCGTAGCAGTTCCCATGAGCACGGTTAATTTCTTCATCCATTCGATTTTCTATGTTATTCATTTTAAAAAAGAGGGTCAAGATTGTGTTGCAAGCTGTATGTCCTAGATTTTACTGACACCTGGCAACTGAACTGCCAGCACGGCTTAGCACTTAACTCGTCTCATATGTCATGCTGCTTAGCCCTTGCCAAATTCCTTGTGGGCTCAGATAGCCTTGTCCATTCCTTTGCTGACGTAAATGAATGGTCACCATTTAGGGAAGATGGCCTATCCTATTCTTAATACCCAGCCAGGTTTAGAGGGATGCAGGCACTTTGAATGGAGAACAAGGGACACAAGGACAGGGTCTAGATCAGCTGGCGAGCTCGCCTCACTGTGCTGATTGTCCCTGTCACACAGAAGCAGATTACACCGTACAGCTAGCCTTTGCTTTTCTTCATGCACCGAATCTTTATATACTGTACTAGGAGGCCTGGTTTTTGGAGGAAATTTTCATTTTTTTTAGACTCTCATCGGACAATTCCTTAAGCTTTTGAAAAAAGGAGGGGGGAGAAAATTGGGGTGAGCTTTTCTCAAAATCTGTTTAAGATAAAACAAAAAACATTTATTTTAATTTGGGGACTTTTTTAACCTCTCAGTCTGTGCCAGCAGTGACTTGTCAGAAGGATAAAGGAAGCATACCTCTATACAATGAGCACACCAGCTAAACAGAGTTCAACCTTGGTTAATTCATTGGCGAAGGTCTATGACCCAAACCCCATGCACAGTCAAGGGCCTACGGGCATCCCAGCAACACCTCGCAAGGTTGCTGGGGAGCCGAAGAAGCCGGCTGCTGATAGCGCCAACCTCTTAGACGTCAAGATTGATTCCTTGAACCGCAAGATGGACAAGCTCATCAACATCCAGGAGAAGGTCCTTCGCAAGCTCGATGGATTGTCACAGGACATCGACGGAATAGAACAAGATGTAGAAACGCTCAAGGTGGACAAAGAGGGGAGCCAACCCGCCAAATCACCCAAAACAGAGTCCTTCCCTGACATGAAGCTAATCTGCCAAGAGCTGACCAGCATGCTTTCAGTGGTGAACCAAAGAACCGAGCAGCAGGCTAAAAGGTTGGATGGGATGGAGAAAATAGTCCTCAGCATCCAGCAGGTCATCAGCTTTATTGGGGAGACAGTGAAGACCTCGAAGGTTATGGAGCTTATTTTTAAAAGCCAATCTCCTCTGAAAGGCAGTGTTGCTTCCCCTGTGGACAGACAGAAAGACAGTAAGCATAAGCAGACTGTCAAGAGGCACGCGTCCTCTGACAAAAGCGAGGTTGTGACCAGTAAGAGAGTTGACAAGGTGAGTAATCTCGACTTGGTTTCACCTGGAAGACATTGCCGTAGGCCCTCAGGAAAACTGAGGAAGACAGAAAACGGACAGAAAACAGTTTGCGTTTTCCTGCATGCACAGAAGTAGCCTCAATTCTGAATTGTGAATAGATCATTGGCTGTCCAACACCTGTGGAATGTTGGCAATTTACATTAAAAGGCACATTAAAGATTAGATCAATTATCATCTATGTGTTACTAATACATACAGTACTATAACCAAAATATTTTTTATTTGTTTTGCTATGTGACACTTTTTCACAATAAAAAAACAACAACATACAGGCTATTAATAATATCTTGAACCATCCGAGATCTAGATTCTAGATTCCAAAAAATTTGGTAGTGTTTTTTCCCCATATATATTGTAAACAATGAATGAGTGCAATTAATTTGTCAATTTGGATTAGATTTCTGCGTTTTGCTTCAGAATCATGTTTCTACCCTCTAAAGATGTACAGGTGCGGTGCAGTGCTCCAGCTCTAAGTAATTGAAATAAAAAACTCGGGTCATAAAAGCAAAAGAAGGAACAGAAAAATGTTACTTGCTGCTGGAAAGTGTTTCCCTGAATTAGATGAAGCACAGGTAAAAAATGGCTCAGACTGTTTACAAACCTACAGATGTCAAGCGGACCTGCTATAAATATCTGGATAACATCACAGACTAAGACTTGTACTGTATAAAGATTTGCAGGTACAGGATCCCTTTCATATTTGGCTTAAGCACTGTATAAGCAGTTGGCAAGGAAGATGCTGGCACACAGCAAGGTAAGACGAGTCCATGTTTGGCTCCCAAAGTAAACACCACCGTGTTCCTTCGTGTCTGCTTTCTCCAGAACGGACTGACCTGAAAAGTTCCCCCACAGACCTCTGTGACCCCTGAGATATAGACATCAGATTTCTAAAATCTGATCAAATCAAATGTAACGGTTTGGAACTAACTACTGGTTGCATCCTCTAATTGGCATTCAGAGTAGACAATTACTTTGAAGGAAAACAGTCCCTTTAGGTTTGCTGTTTAGAAAGTATACAGTGACAGCCATATTTTCTGGGTGTCCAGTTTGTGCCATTTTACCGGTATTCCATAGCTGGAAGTTATTTGCTGCCTTGCCAAATTAAACTCACAAAAATGTGTGTGATAAACCAAAAAAGGCAGATACGATTTTGAAAAAAAAAAAACCCAGTAAACCTCCCCTTGCAGTTTTCTTCACAGCTGAAAAACAAACAGGGTCAGTGGAAGGTCAGTGTTTTGGAAGATCAAGGGGATCACGATTGGCCTTTGATGCTGATCTTGCACCAGGGTTGAAATGCACTGGGGCTTTGCACCTTCCCAGACTAGCAGGGACACCGTTCCGAGTCGCCCTGTCTTCATTAAATTAACAGTGACCCCTACCGGTGAGGCAACAAGAAGGGAGCGCTCTGAGGAGGGGGGAGGGAAGCTATCGGTCAGTCTGTCTGTGGTTAACACTGACAAAGAGCCAGGTGCAGAGGAGGTAAAAGACGAAGAATCGCTTATGAATGTTCTGCTTACTGTTGAAGCAAGCTGGATGAAGACGTTTGGGGAGCAATGCGTTAGACGGATGTGTTGAGATGAGTCCAGTTAGTCTCTGAAGTTGGCAGCCCCCGGTTCTGGCCTCCACTCTGAAGCTGGGATCAGATGGCAAGAACTTGTGAAGAGTCAGCTTTGCTCAGGGGACATTCTGTAATAACATTGACGGAACCCAGAATAAAGTTATCAGGTTCTCATACAACAGTTCTCGCACACATCTCAAACATTTCATTTGAAATATCTGTTGCAAATTCTCTTTCACATTTAAATGCAGCTATGGATCATGATTCGTGGTGCATCTAATGGGCAATTATTGATGTAAGAGACGGTTAAAAACGCTTACTTTCAAAATGTGATAGTGTGTAAACAAGCATTAGATATAAATAAGATGCTTTGAAAGGATAAATATAGTAATGAGGTTACAGATAAGTGATGACTGATATACATTACACAAGCTGCTGTATGGGGATAGGGACAGGAGTATTTACATGCCATGTGACATAAACTGGTAACGATAATAATTGTCTGCATTTGTGTAGCATTTATCATCCCAAAAGGGACCCACTTCATGTGGCAGCCATTCTGCACCAACAACCACACTCTACAGCTGCTCAGCTGGAGAAGCTAGAACCGACTTCATTAATTGAATTAAGGGGGAAATCTGCACAATCAGATTGTGCCAGCTCAGTTAACACTATTCTCGTGGCAACAGCGCCAACGTGAATGGCCGCTCACCTGTACTTTTCATGGCAGATAAGTCAAAAACCTTAGTTTATCATCTTCACATCCAAAGGCTACACCTCCTACAGCAGAGTGTCTCCTGTCACCATACTGTGGCATTGGATACAGAACTTGGGTTCCACGCTCATGGTCCACATGAGGAATGTGGTCTTACGCCGTAATCTTTTATAAGGCATGACACCACAATCGAGACTTGTTTAAATTCATTTCTTTCACCTCAAGAACATATGTTTTTCACTTAACATGGCAGAAACTCCATGTGCTCTGATGCTTGTGTTGCATCATAATATTAACCCATATCTACTATAGGTGGAGCTACTGTATCTCAGGTGTTAGTCTCACAATGTTTGAGATTATTTTGATAAAACTCAACATTTTATTAGAACATTTCATTATGTTACAGGTAGCATACAAAAATAAAAACAATATTCAGTAGGTTTTTCTTTTACTTCCCTGCAGGATCCTTATTTGTACTATTGTGGTTTGGAGGACCTTCTCACAAAATACCTTTAACCCGGATGTACTGTAACAGAACGGTCCATGATCAGTTCCTAGCTTTGTTGTGCTGATGGGTCACAATCAGAAATGTTTTACAGAAAATAAAAGAAAACTCTTTTCTAAACTATCTGTTTAGAGACCTCGTTACACAAAGCAATGCTTTCTTACAAGGGCTAAACTGCCAGCCCCTAGAGCTGCACTACTGTTGTCCCTATTTCTCTCTTAAACGTTCCTAGCATGCAGTCAAGTATTAATACAGACCAATGGGCATACAGTGTACTGATTGTGACACCTTTTACAGATCTACACTGTGTCCCAGCATCCTGAGCAAGGCTGCTTCACTTGTTTACTGAGTTTGTTTTCTTTCCTCCATTGTACTGTATTTAGATCTCCTCTTTTGATTGGCAGTTATTTAAAGAAAGGGCTAGGTGGAGGCATAGCCCCGACTGTAAGCTTCCTACATCTTCAGCGCGACACATTTTCAAGGCCAAGTCGCTCACCGCAAGCGAAGGAAGTGTGTCCCCGTGACAGCAGTGTGTGCATGTTCACTGCCCACCTCTGCTCTTAATGACCTGCAGTCAATAAGCTGGTCATTCGCTTTCCTGTACCAGTTTAATGCTTTGCAAAGGTCTTCAGCCGTTATTCATTTAAAGAGACATAGGAAACCTGGAGGATTCTAGTCCTTGAGGATGGGAGTCGTTTATACTTATGGTCTACTGTGACCTTGGTGTGACCAGCGAAGTCAGACGGGTAAAGTGGTCAGTGCGCTGACCCGCAGAAAGAATCTGAGGCAGGTCACCACCTGTTCTTATGGCCAGAGAGAATAGCTAACTGGGGCTGGCTGGGGGAGGAGGACACAGCAGCTGAGTCAGCTGTCCCCTCTTCATCATGTGCTACACAGACTCTTGTATCAGTTGGTTCTGTGTGAGTAATTAGATACTTATTGGTTTATGTCTACTTATTGATTTGTATTCATCAGGGAAAAGCCATTTTACCAATGTACCGTCTTTAGAATTACTATCTTTTACTGATGTCTCACTGCAAAAAAAACATGCAACATAAACCATAAAATGAAAACTTACCTACAGTATGCATAGGTCCTATACTATAGATATTTGTCAAAATGCTGCTACAGCAACAACATCCCTTATGCATCACAAACATGTTGACAGTTCATTACTGTTACAATACATAAATACTCTCCATTACTGTATCTCAAGCACTGTCCACAGGGGATTTTGCCATATCTGGTTGCAGACATTACCTCAGAACCTCTCTCATTAGTTTCTGTAGAAGAATACTCAATATTCTGTCCTGTGTCATGGAAAAGCTTGCAAGGAAGGCATTTTCTACATCTGTGCATCTTATGATATAGGTATCCTCAGGTTCTTGACGTGAGGAACAGATCTGAAAGGCCTCATGGGAAAAGCCCACTATGACTTACAGTCTGTAGAGGTCTTCATGTGAAAAGAGTGTGTAAACAGTCACATGCAATTAAGGACCTCTGTGTAATTTAGTTAAGATACATTACGGGCTCCCTTGGTGTATATTTGAGAAGGAGAGTAGAGTTTTTCCACTCTAGTCCAGCATTAGGTTTCTGCTGGGGGAGTTGTAAGAGCTGCAAATGTGCTGTTTAGTGATACACGAGAAAAGAAATCGGCGTGCACTGAATAAAGCTGTCCTGGTTACCTGAGACCTGAGATTCATTTTTATCTTACATTTGTACTCTCTGAAAACAGTTCCTGGGATTCAGGATTTGTATACAAAGAAGTATCCCTTTTGTTCACTTTAACTGTTCCATCCTCTGTTAAATGCCTTCTAAAATGTGTGATTGTTATTCATATTCATTTAACATCTTTAATCACAAGAGTGTATTTCATTGCACACTAATAATTGCTGACAATGCATGCAAGCTGACCTGTCCCAGCAATGCCATCTTCTTTTTAACAGAAAGCTACCTCTACTAAAGCACCTAAAGAGAAGCAAGGCACATCATCAGTTTGTGAAACCAGCTGCCTGGAGCCCATTCACAGCTCAACAAGCAGGACTAAACTTCATGGACCAAAGCATTACCTTGTTTCTCGTAAATATGGAAGCATTGTAGGTTAATTCATTGGCATGTGTATCTCTGAAGTGTCCCAATTCCGTGTTATTTACTCTAGACATACTGTGTATCTTACTGCAGTGGGGAAGATTTTAAATATGGTCATTCATAATCTGATTTATCAGCAGTGTCAGTTATTTTTAAAATAAATATTTACTGAGGGGACAAATATCTGACCCATTCCTGTTTTGGCCAAAATGATAAGATGCATTGAATACCCTGCCTGAGAGGATGACAGAGTGAGTTGAGAGGGAGATACATGGCTTTGCTGTACAGCACGGCTTTGCCCTCTCTCGAGTTTCACGAGCTGTCATCGTCTCGAGAACTGGCACAGGCTGAACGGATCGGAGCCAATCTGTGTTCAGCGCCCGTGGAGTGCACAGGTGAAATCTGCCCATTGCACTCCACGGCTCGCAGTAGGAGACCTGTTTCTTATCAGTCTCTCTCTCATCCTTTCAGGCACCCAACTGCAAATGCAGGTTCACGGATTGTGTGAGATACCCCTCCTTGTGCCTATTACTTGCTGAAACAGGCTCTGCCCCCCCAACGTCCTTGAATTGGATGAGACAATTCGAAAATGGATGACTGAATGGATGTATAACATATAAACTATTATTAAAGGAGCTTTGTTTTAATTAGAATATACAGTACCATATCTGCAGTGACACCAGAAGTGATCTCTCCAAAATAGAGGGAAAAACAGGGAAAGGGAACCAAGTAGTGTGTTCTGTTGTACTCAAAGAAACAAATTTAATGTAATAATTTATTCAATAATAATACCTTACGCTTTTATATATCCACTTTTCTGGATACTCCACTCTACGTTCTTCACTCCAGTACACTCACCACACACCAGCAGCTAGTGAGGAGGAGAACAGAGTAATGAAGCCAATTATTCCAATAATCTAAATCTAAAAAAACATTTTTGGCAACAAGTCCTCAACATTCTGGCCTTCTACAGCTTCTTACATCTTTTCAGAATAATTGGACTGGAGGAAGATGAAATGTTTCCTGACATCTCCACCGCTGTGAAAGTGTGCTGTGATGCAGAGATGTGGAAGAATCTGGTTCACGCAATAGTATTATCTTATACTCAAGCTAGATTGCTTTATGTCAAGTTTTTAACCCTTGTGATGTTTTTTTTTTCCTCAGCTGAGAGATCTCAAAGGAAAAGATGTTAAAGACAAGTCATCTTCCTCGAGTCTTAAGGGCCTTAAATGTCATAAAAAGAAGAAGCCTCCAGATACTGCTGGTAAGAACTCAGTAGTGAGCACTCTGATTTGCTACTTGCAGCTTTAATGAAGCTTAAATTATTTGGTTAAATAATTTAAGTTAACTAAAAGCAAAATAGGATCAATCTGAATTTTACTTTCAAGTCCTAGATGTTACACAGTATATTGGCCACTGGGGATGGGAAAGTCTCTGGACTCGTAACCAGTGTGCTGTCGTTTGAAACAGCTGCTGTAGACACTGCTGTTCTACTTTCAGCAATGCCTTTATTCCAGTTGTGCTCCAGTCCACTCAGCTGTAGGAATGGAGACCAGCATTGCTGGGGGTAATTCCTACGATGACTGTGTCCTGTACAGGATTGGGAGTCACGTTCTCTCTCCTCCACTTCACAACATGGAAACCAACATCTGTCCTGATGAGTCTCTGGACATTACAGTACCTACTGATGGCCATAGTTCTGCCTTACCTTGATAATTTGAATATCATTGCCTAACGCTAAGGAATCACACGAAGGCCTGTCCTTTATATGTGAATCAAGTTCTGTTTCAATCATTCATGCCAGAGTAATTTTAGAAGTGCCATGGATTTTGCCATCTTCATCCTTTTTGACAAATACGATATGTTTATTTGCATACATAAAATGATTTGACTCTCATGATGATAGTTCCGTAAAACGTAGCCGGCCGTGACTGGATTCCTACAGTAACCGGACAAAGTAGGGTTGGGTCTGGCAAGCCCAGGGGCTCTCAGTTCGTGACCCCCTGGGCTCCGCAGGCTGACAGGGACAGGGGTGAGTGTTGTGATGCTTCTTCAGCTGGCACGGTCTCTCCTGGGGGGCGCTGGAGTGGCTCTCACAGGAGAATGTGTGCCCTTCAGCAGTGTCCCTGAGCCAGAGCAGGAGTTGAGCTGTGAGATGAGCCCGAGACGTGCAGAAACAACTGGCCAATCCCTGGTGGGGGTGTGGTTGTGCGAGGAAATGTAGTTGTAGTAGTTGGGGCTGCTGTAGTAGTTTCATGGGTTGTTGTGGGGGGGGGGGGGGGTGGTGTGGGGGATAAATAAATCTGGTCAAATAAATTCTTCAAAATGCAATAAAGATGGCAGAATTATGACCCAGTTGTGATTTTATTGAACCATTTGATACAAGCCTAAAATAGCCTAAAAGGACCAACTTTTCACCAATTTATTTTTCTTTTCTTTGGCCAACGTGCATTAAAAATGTCACTTTAATTTTTTTTTAATTCCTGTGATACCCTTACGTGGTACGAATTCCCAGTTGTTTTCTCATTTGCAGAGGCAGCTGCTCAGAGGAAGCCTTCGCTGTTGGACGAGGAAGTACAAAAGCTTAACAAACAGAATGCTGAAAAATCTGGTCAACCCCCTTCGCCAGCAATGCAAGACCTTGAAGCTGGCAGGCTGGATGAAAACATACAGAGGAGCCCTGCCAGTCAGGGGCCAAAGGACACGGTCTTGGATGGCCAGTTTGAGGCACTGCCTGTCTCTGCTGCTGCCAGCGACCTGGTAGACTTCATTCTGGAGGTCCCTTATCCTCAAGGATCGAGTACAGCGCAGCAGGAGCCCGAGGGACCCGAGGTGGAGAAGCAGGACAGGAAGGCTCCCATAGTCCAGGAGGAGGAAGACCTGGAGGGGGATTCCACTGAAACAGAGTCTCAGGAAGGCAGAGTGGACATAGAGCTGGAGGCACACGAAGACAAAGAGGAGGAAGATGCCAAAGGAGACAAAATCCAAGAAGAATCTGAGGCGGAAGAAATATCAGAAGTAGAGGAAGCTACCCTGAAGGCGCTTTCAGAGACCCCCGAAGTGAAGGGTAAAAGCACAGCAGAAGGAGAGCAGCTATCAGAGGGCTCGTATGACAGTCTGACCCAGAATGGCTCCTTAATTCCAGAAAGGTAGTTTTGTCTCTACCTCACGTGCTCTCTTGCGTACATTAGTGGTGTTCATCAAAAATGTTGTCACTATAAATTGTTTATTAAAATTATTTTTAGAATACGAATTTGAACAAGACAAAACAAATCTGAATCTGAAGCAGAGAAATGTGTTAGCTGAAATGTTGGTAATTGTGTCCATAGCTTTCTTGTGAAATGGGGTGATGGTTAAGATTTCACCTTCAAGAAGAAAGGAACGCAGTGGAGCACAGAGTTATCTTGGAATATTGTTGTTTCAGGCATGAAGTCCACGAGCGTTCAGACTCCATCCTACCAGAGGCTGGCCAAGGCACAGAGCAGACGGAGGTCAGCAGCTCCAGCAAGCGCAGGGTCACTGAGGAGGACGTGGTGAAGGATGACCACAAGAAGAGCAGGGTGGAGGAGGCCTGCGAGAGCGCTGGGCCTGAGCAGGAGCAGAAGGAAGAGCAGGCCCAGACCGAGGCAGAGGAAGCGGAAGGCGAGAACGGCACCCTGCCAGCCGAAGAACAGATAATGGAGTACTTTATCGGTGAGGAAAGAGCCTTTGTGGCTTTTGGCTGAACAGTCCTGGGAATGATTTTAGCGCAAACTTTTTCACCAGACAATCTACTACCATGTAAAGGTTTATTCCCTGCTGAAAGGAAAAGAAGAGGCACTCGAAGAAGGCTCCACAGCCAAACCGCTGTGTCTCTTTTCTCTTCCTTTCAGCTTGGAATAAGCCTTTACCTGTTCCTTTGCAGCCTGCGCGTGCTGCCACAGCTCCGCACTGGAACTTCTTCAGTCTAATACCAGGTTGACGGGTTGCTTGATGGGGTTTCCATGCGCAGCTCCCGCACACGGCAGTGTTAACGAGCAGCGGGCTTCTCCGTGTGACACTCTGCAATCCATTCCAGCCGAGCCGCAGGACTCGCTTCAGCGCGGTGCGCTCCCGTTGCCATCTTCCGTGTGTCCCAGTGCGTCACGGGTCTGATTGCAGGCGGTTGACTTGTTGCCATGTGAGCCCTGTGTTTGCAGCGAAAGAATGACCTGTCCTTCTCTGCCGTGACCGTGTAGACTGCAGCCCCCCCCCACCTGCTCCCTTTGATCACCGTGTGGTCTCCGCCAAGCCAGTGCAGATCACCAACTTCTACACCATCAACAAGCAGGAGATCCTGGGCGGGTAAGGAGCCATTTCAAGCCACTGCAAATCAATGTGCACAGCAGCGCGCTCGGCAGTGAGGGACAGAAGGGAGAGACAGTAATCTCACTGACGCAGACGGTGAAACCTGCAGCCTGACTGTATTGAAATGTCCCCAGTCAAGTATGTTATTTGTACCAACTGGTTGCTGGTATGTGAAACCGTACCTACAGTACTGCACAGCCAGCTGAGACCTAATCTCCAAGCGGTAATCTGTTCCTTAAAGGCCCCTATACTGCCTCCAGTTGGATGTCAGCATTTTCTTATAAAAACTTGAACAATCCAGAAAACCCATGCAGTTTTTTTTTCCAATAGTTTTTTTAAGTTGATTTCTTCTCAGTTTTTCAGTATTAAGTCTTCTCTAGAATCTGAAACAGAAAACATGATGATGCATTCCTGTTGTGAAGCCTAGCTTGACCCCTTCACTCAGTGAATTTGAATAATTTCATGAATTTGAATACGTTGAGAGAAGCTGCCAAATCCTACAATCTGTTATTACATAATTCAAAAGAAGTCTGATTTTCATTTTCGTGCAGTACTTGGCCTGATGATACAGTGCCTTGTATTTTGTGAGTGAACTAGCTAACTAGTTTTTTTATAACTTCATATTACAAATGTATCTCACAATCAGTATGATTGGAAATAATGACCTTGTCAGTAGCAAACTTACGTGCAGGTGGACTAAGAGCTGCACTGTACTGTACTGTAGTTTTACAAAATTTCCCTGGGTAGCAGTATGTCAGCCCCACCCAAAGACTCGTTCTACTGAATGACTTTTATTCTGAGTACGTTTTAGAGACTCATCAAGAATTGTTGATTAACTCTGAAAAAGACTTGAATATAAACAGAGGAAGAGGATATTTGCAGCAGCTCCTTGATTTTGAAGGTGGCTTGTCTTCTTTGTTTGTTTCTCCAGTGGTCGCTTCGGCCAGGTTCACAAGTGCATTGAAAATTCCTCTGGGCTGACCTTAGCTGCCAAAATCATCAAAGCAAAAAGTCCAAAAGAAAAGGTGAGAATGAGACACAAGGAAGTAAGGAGGTTACAAATGAGAGGAGACCATTTGACCTACAGTATTGTGCTTGTTTGATTGCTCGTAGTGAAGTGATACAAGAAGTTTCTCCAGCAGTTTCTTGAAGATTCCCTGAGAACTGGCTTCGACAGTTGTGTAAAGAAGTGTCTACTGTTCTCAGGCGTCTTCTTAACTTTTTGTTACCCCCTCATATTCTTGTTTTCTGCCGAGTGTAAAGTAATCCATTTCTAATACCATTCAGGATTTTGAATCCTAAATTGACTGAATTTATTTGAATCCTATATGACATTCTTTTTAGTCAGCAGGTATATCACTCTTCAGCTCTCAACTGATACCCACTGAAGTTAACATGCTTTTTTTTGAGCTTACCTTAAAGTGCTGCCTTATTTTTTTCAGTAGTGTCGGGTAACAGAATACCCAGCCTCAACCCCCTAGTTGAAATATTGTGGTCTGCACTTAATTGTTTGCACCAAACCAAAAAAAAACAACCCTGGTCATTTAAATAATGTTTTCAGATTGTATTGCTTATGAGGTAGCTAACACTGTAGCAAACTGACACTGTGACAAGTTAATGGTAAACATTATTTACCCTCAAATGGTTTTTGGATTAGTAATAAAAGTGAGCCAGGTACACATCTAGGAATTTTTTTTGCCTTTTACGCATTTTAATTCAAAGTGAAATCAGTGTTTTAATGTCATGTATTAAGAGTGACTTTTGATTATATATGTTATATAGAATACCTGTATGTGTCTGTATCATACTGAATGGCTATTTCATGTTTCAGGATGAGGTCAAAAATGAGATTCAGGTGATGAACCAGCTGAACCACGCCAGTCTCATCCAGCTGTATGCGGCGTATGAGTCTAAAAACGACATCATTCTGGTCATGGAGTAGTAAGTGTTGTCGCCACTCTGTCACAGCTTGTATTTCCTGGAAATGTACCTACAGTACAGGACTCTGTACTGCTGATTGTCTGCGTGACGGGAGGATGGAATTTCTGTCTGAAGTAGCTGGTGGCAAAACGAGTAAAAGCTCAACAGTGTCACCTAGTGTCCAGATATTGTCAAAACAAGACAATTATCTGTCTGGTTTTCAAGGCTGGTGACTCTACGTGTTAACGTAAAACTTTTTACTTTTAAATAATTCCTTAAATTCAGCTAAGGTTATATAAGTTATATATGTTATATATGTCAAGATGGATTAGTCTTCATTAGCCATGATATTATTTTTATATTTGTTTTCTTGTTCACTGCAGTGTAGACGGAGGGGAACTTTTTGACAGGATTATTGATGAAAACTACAATCTTACCGAACTGGACACGATCCACTTCATCAGACAAATCTGTGAGGGCATTCAGTACATGCACCATATGTACATCCTTCACTTAGATTTGAAGGTAAAAATTGCGTTTGTCTTGCCTTCAGTGTTCTCAATCTTATTAAATAAGTCGTTAAAAAACACTTAGCATTTACATCACTCTTTGTCTTTCAGTGTTGTCCACCTCTAATTAACGTTGTTTTAAGGCAGATTTTTTTAGGATACTCAGTACTCTGCTTGCATTCCCAAATACTGTAGCACTGTGATCGTGTGGCCCCACGCTCATTTTTATTGCTGAATTCTATGCAGGTTTTAGATATTATTTAGAAACCCCGAATTATCTTTTTTTTTTACATTTTTTCTTGTTGATTTGGAAATCAAAAAAAGAACAAAAACAAAAACAAATAGAATAAAAAATCAGGGCCAATTTATTATTTGGCAATATAAATACCAGAAAGTGAGATTTAAGGGTGTCACAGTCTTCACTGAGCCTTGTAAAACCTGTTTATTTGTCTCTTGATCTCATACTGTACAATGCCATCCAAAAGCATTAGTACAGTGAAGTCTAAACTGGGATTTTAACCTCTAATTATTTCTCATGAACAACGACATGACAAGTGCAAGTATTTTATTTTAAATAAAGTAAATTCAGTTCTGCCATCTTGGGTAAAACAATTCAAAATGCAAGAAATTGAATATGGCTAATAAAGTGATCTTATCTTATCTTAAATTGCTGAACCTCGGTTGGCAGGGGATTCTGGTTGGTTTGTTGTGCAGTAATTAGGTTCATAATTCAATTAGCCTTGGCGATCATGTCAACCTGTCTTGCTTTGAACTTAGTTGTGTAGAGATCATAATTGAAAGGTAAATGCAAGCCAAATAAATTTCTAATAAGTAAAAAGAACAAGTTTGAACCTGAAAGTAACTAAAAACTCAATCAGAACCAAAGCACAGAATTTAGATATACTGTATCAACATCAACCATTGTAATTTTGAAATAAAATACATTAATATCCTATATTTTCTGTATTTATTGTAAAATATTATTTTTAAAACGTTGAGATGACGATGATGTAAATTTTCCTTAGTGTGTAGTTTCAGCATTTAAAATCATTCCCTTATCTGGTAGAAGAAGAACAACAACATCTATATGTTTTGTTTGCAGCCTGAAAACATATTGTGTGTGAGCCGAGCTACCAATAAGATCAAGATAATCGACTTTGGGCTTGCCAGAAGGTATGCACTTCGACCTTTGCCTAGCAAGGAAACATTGACCATATGTGTATGAATTTCTACCTTTCTAATTTCTACTAATGTTATGAGCTAACATTACGAGTGAAGGATCTCTCTTCCACCAGGTACAGGACAGTACATCGTCTTGTGTTGCGTTGTAGAGCAGAGCTGAGCACTTCTGCCCATGCCTTCTACTATATATACATCAATTATGCCAAAAGAAAACTCCCTTCCAACGCCCCCCACAATCCAAGAAATGTGAATTCTATCTGTTTTTTTCTGGATAAGGGTCACACCAACATTGGCTCAGTCCTAGATCCCAGGCAGGGCTTCAGTCTGGATGAGATCCAGCACAGGACAGGCACACAGGAGCACACAAAGATAATTTAGGGACGCCAGTTGATGCAACCAACGTGTCTCAGCACACAGCGTTTAACAGAAGAGAGCACTTGAAACATCAGTAGTCCTTGACAAATCCCCCAGTTTTGGCATTTTGTCAACTGACAGAATAAGTCGAAACGCAAAACAAACATGGGAGCATGACGTTAATTGCATGGCGTTTTGAGTTTGAGTTGCTGAAAATATTACGAGTACATTTTAAAATCTTCCTATTTCTTATAACTGGTCTAAAAGAGCAACTTTCGAGTCCAGGTGTTAGATTACTTGTGTGAAGCAATGCCAAGAGGTTTAACGTAGCTAAAAGTAACGCTGACGAATTCAGATCTTCCCATTGCTTATACTTTATGCCACTGTAATTCTCCAAATGGTGAGGGTTCAGTAACATGTTGGCACGAGGGAAGACAGATATAAAGTTTTGCAATCTCTTCCTTGTGACTCATTGGTTTCTTACATGTGATTGCCTTGAGTTGAGTTAGTCAAGACCTTTGGAGATGCATTCTAGTACTCGTGCTTATTCTTTAGAAAGGCTGACTGTGCACTTGCATTATGCCGAAAATGCTTTATGTGCGTGCTTTCATCCTTAGATACAAGCCAAGGGAAAAGCTAAAAGTGAATTTTGGGACACCGGAATTCCTCGCTCCTGAGGTCATCAACTACGAGTTCGTCTCATTCCCCACGGACATGTGGAGTTTAGGAGTCATTACCTACATGCTGTAAGTGACCAGCTCAGAGAGCCTTTGCTGCTCACCCCAGGGGTGTCCAGCCCTGGTCCCTTAAGGGGCAGTGCGTCCGGAGGCTTTCAAGGTCTCTTTAAAGTACCGGCACCTAAAACACTGGGAGAAGCTGTTAAATCAGGCCAGCTAAGCTAGCAGTGCAGCTCACAATGAGCCGAGCTGGAATAAAGACCTGCAGGCGCATTGGGCCAGGAATGGACACCTCTGGCTTATCGAGCAGGTACTTTTTTTTCCTCAAATGATAGGAATATTAACACTCCTTCTGCTACAGTACCTTTGCCAGCTTACCAATTTTACTGTAATCCTCATGAAAACTGGTAAAATTTTGCAAGACACACAATGGTATTTTAAAAAATGTCTCTTATGGGTTTTAGGAAGCATGACTCAATGAATTACAATGATGCTGTGGATTATTATTAATATCTGCTCAGCAGAAAACCTTAACATGGGGTACTTGCATTACATACTGTATGAAATTTGCATGTTTTTGCATAATGCACACATGAAATATACTTTAACAGTCATGTATGTACAACTAGCTGACGAAATTAAGTGCCAGGCCAGCACAAGCTGAACCAGAAACTCCAGCACCATGACAAGGGGGCTCCTCTGGGCTTGGTACTGAAATATATGCCCAGAAGTGTCACCTCTTGCGCCTTGCCTGACATCACACACTATCATATTAATTCCAAAAAAGTATTTAGTCTCTGAGTCAATGTTTAACAGTCCTTTACCACAGATGGCTTGTCGTAGAGTACGACAGTCACAGAGGGCACCTCAGCTACGCTTGAATTTCAAAACTTGATTCGCTGAATTCTAGAAGCTTCCCATCTCAGTGAGTAAGCCTGTGATCCTGATGTGGTTGTCTCCAGATGTCTTTGTGAGAAAGCTGGAACATACAACTTCAGGTCTTTTGTTACAAGCCCAGTGGAACCACCGAAAGCCACAAAAAATGTTCGCCCTCAGCAGAAACCACTGCTTTGTTCACTCCAGGCTTAGCGGCCTCTCTCCTTTCCTTGGCGAAGATGACAATGAAACCCTGAATAACATTCTGGCCTGCCAGTGGAGCTTGGAGGACGAGGAATTTGCAGATATCTCGGAAGAAGCCAAGGACTTTATTTCAAGGCTCATTGTGAAGGATAAATGGTAAATTAAGAAGTAATTCTAGAAACAGAAATGACAATGGTTATTTATTAATTCAAGAGCTCTTTTATTTTAAGAGTGAAAATAAGTCACCACCCACTGGGTTTTAAATTTCATGTCCATGCAGTCATATAGTACATTCCACTTTGTGCAACATTGAAGAATATGCAATTAGTAATGTTACTGTCTTAAATGTATTGTTTCTGATTAAAGATAATGCAGAAGAATGTGAAATCAATTAGACTGACATTAAATTCCACTCCTTAGATGCACTTTCTTAAAAAGGATTAAGATGATAAAATATTAAAAAATTAAGTTTAGAAAATATTAAGCCATAACTACATTTTTCAGGAATTGCCCTGATTCAGAACAAAATATTTAACTATTTTATTTAGAGTATAGCCAAATCTGAGTTTGACAAATAGCTGACCCAGACTTACTTTCATTCCCAGTAGTAAACATGTACTGTATGTGTGTGTTGTTTCAGTTGGAGGATTACTGCTGCAGAGTCACTGAAACACCCATGGTTATCAAACCGCAATCTTCACTACCGACTTCATCAAAAGGTACTTATGTTTTCCTTTTAATTGCACTTGCCGTGCTGTTAATATGTGCATGCAGCTCTTTCAATTTGTTTAGTCAAGATAGCTTTTCAGAACCTGATTCTGTCTCCACTATTCCACTATGTTAATCTGGTTCAATTTGCTGTAATTTGTTTGCTTTCTTCCTTTTACAGAAAAATAAGTGCCACTCTTCACATGCTCCACCTGCTGAAACCTAATCAGGTATGCCTCTCACAGTGATATGCCAGAGCCGGAAAGCTTCTGAGGACAATTATCAGCATTTTAAAGTTATTTTGTTCACCAGGCATTCTTTTCTGAAGAGCTGTCATTGTTGCTCCACACAGTTTACAGTGTAATTTGAATAAATTCGGTTCAGCAAAATCCATGTAGATTGAGTCCAGACGTCACTCTTGGTCAGGATTTATGCTGATTTTGACATCTCTCCCCTTTTCTGTTCTGTTTTCTAAAGTTTTTTGGAATGCTTTGGAGTGTTTTTTAGGTCTTTGCCGATGGGCGGTTTTAAAGAAAGTGTTATGATGCTGTCTTTGCCAGTTGACTGGTATAATGTTGCATTTAACTGCTTGTTTTCTATTCAACATCTCCTTTTTTATTTTATAGAATGGTGGGATGCTGCATACTGCTGCCAACAGGTATCTAAATATTGATGACTTCTGATGACATGAGCCTCACTCAACTGGACCAACACTGCTGTACTGTACATGTACATGTACTGTATAATCAATGGACATTCATTTCTGCCTTTATCTGTATATTAGCACTAGAAGTTGAGCACATGAAACAATTGCAAATTGTGCTCAAGCATGATGTCAAAGGAAGTAGAATGCATGTGTGAATTAGAAGATATTTAAACCCAAATTTGCTATTTTACAATCCCCATGCAAATGATGAAGTAGAATTTCTCTTCTGAAACTCACAAATCCATTTATTATTGGGGAAATCACTATGAATCGGCATGCACGTTAAATCTGATGTTAAACAGTGTTGTTCAAACTTCAGCAGCGCCTGCAGCTGAACTTTAACAACTTAAAATTCATTCTTAATGGCACAATTGTGCCTAAAGTGTGCCAAACAGACATTTTGAACTAATATAAAAATGTACGTAGAGTCACCTCAATGCCCTGTGAATAAATCACTGAAGGTAAAACTAATTTGAATTAAAATTTTAGGGGGTCCAATATGAAGTTGTCATAGAGTCAAGACAGTCATTTGTAGTGAAACGTGAAGGAATGTTAAAAAGTCATTAAACATTGTATTGCTGGTATCCCTGCACTACTTTATAGAATTTGTCAATGTGCCATAATTCAGGATTACTGTTTTTTAAAGCAGCAGTTATACCACACAATATTTAATAGGGCGTACAGCTGGGGATTGCATCCATTATATATTTTTTATTTCACTGAACTGTTTCAGTTTAGTAAAATACAGATTTTATTGAAGAAGACAAGCAGATTTCAGTAATGGGGAGAACAGCCACACAACGTTTATATCGAAAACTTGAGGGTTTTTGCCGAAGGACAGCTTGAGCCGAAGTGGGTACGCAACACAGTAAGAGGTGTGTGTTTATATTTAACAAGGGCTGGCCGCCTGAGGAAAAATACGGCGAGAGCAATTTCCTGCTCCAAACCTTGTATCTTTCTATTGAAGAAAGCTCATGCACTCTTAAGAAGAAAAGGCAAAGTCTGTGTCCAAAACCATCACTTCTGTCTCTTATATAAACTTTTGTATAGCTTGTTAAAGTAACTCTACTCTGAACTCAACACATTTTTATTTTACACCGTAAAATATATACAGTAAAATGCTTACCTTTTGGAAAAAATATTTCAGTTTCTGGTGTCAATTAAAAAACACTCTTTAGTTATTGTAGCTTATGCTGGTTCATCGCATATCTTCATTGAATAACCCTTCAACACAATATCTTTGTGTATAAACCCTTTTCTTGTTACAGTATATGCAGTATATAGTATATGCATTTGTCAGGCAACTTCCAGAAACAAAAACTGCAGGACTGTTTTAGGTAGCATAGCAAATATAGGTAGCAAATATACTCTATAATAATATATCTCGGATAAGAGATAAGCAAACGTGATTTTATATTCAAATCAAAATTGTTTCAAATGTGGCTGTTCCCACAAAAACACTCCTTAACAGCAATCGATGTTCATTGTATATGATGACTCAATAAGATCACCTTTATGTAAAAATTCTTTCACATAATAACTCTGATGTTTGGCTGTTTGAAATAAATCTGGCCCCAACTACACCCCAGAATATATCTGCAGTGACATTTGCATAATTTAGTGACATTTTGCTTGGGGCTTGTTTACTGCCCCAAGCAGTGTTCAAGTAATTAAAAAGAGTCGTATTTTTCTCAATTGGAAAAAAAGTA